ACGATCCCAGGGTCCTGGGATCGTGACCTGAGCCGAAGGCAGACGCTTAACGACTGAGCCACCCAGGCGCCCTCAAATAAATAAATAAAATCTTTAAAACAAAAAAACCAAAATGGGTTATAGGCCCAAATGTAAACCTAAAACTGTTGGAAGAAAACATAGGAGAAAATCTTTGTTGTTTTGGATTAGGCAAAGATTTCTTAGATACAACACCAAAATCACAATCCATAAAAGAAAAACTTGACAAATTGAATTCATCAAAATGAAAATCTTCTCTTCTTCAAAAGACCCTGTTAAGAGAATGAAAATACAAGCTGCAGACTAGGAGAAAATCTTTGCAAATTATATATCTGTTAAAAGATTTGTATCCAGAATATATTGAAAGAACTCTCAAAACTCAGTAATGTGAAGATAAGCAAACCAATTTTAAAAACTAGGGAAAAGATTTGAAAAGACACTTCTCCAAAGAAGACAAACAGATGGCAAATTAAGCACATGAAAAGATGCTCAACATCATTAGTCATCAGGGAAAAGCAACTTAAGACCACAGTGAGGTACCACTATACATCTATTAGAATCGCTAAAATGAAAAAGATTGACCATACCAAATGTTGGGTAAGATGTGGACAATGGGAGTCCTCGTCCACTGCTGATGGGAATGTAAAATGATACAGTCACTTTGGGAAACAGTTTGGTGGCTTCTTACAAAGTTAAGAAAAAACCTGTCATGCAAACTTGCTATTCCACTCATAGGTATCTATCCAAGAGAAATGAAAGCATATGCCAATACGAGGATTTGTACAGGAATGTTTATAGCAGCTTTATTTGGAATAGCCTCAAATTAGAAACACCCCAAATGTTCATCAACAGATGAATAAGTAAACAAATTGTTGTATATACATGCAATGGGATACTACTCAAGAATAGAAAGGAATGCACTGTTAACGTAATAAACCTAGTGTCGTGGATGAATCTCAAAATATTATGCTGAGTAAAAGAAGCCAGACAATAAGGAGTACATGCTGTATAATTCCATTTTTATAAAGTTCTAGAACAAAGCAAATTAGGAAGCAGGTAAGTGGTTGCTTTGGGACTGGAAAGGGAATCAGGGAGAAATGGGGGGGAAGGGCCAAGAGGAAACTTTTGAAGAGGACAGATAATGTTTATTATCTTGATTGTGGTGATGGTTTCATGGGTGTATATATATGCCAAAAATTGCACACTTTAAATATGTACAGTTTATTTTGTGTCAACTATATGTCAGTGAAGCTATTTTTAAAATTCCATAGAAGGTTCACAAGAGTAAATTTAAAAAAATCCCAGAATAGAACCAAATGACAAAGAAATGTAAAATATGAGGGCGGGGAAAAAACACCAGGGAGAGATGCAAAGGATCTCCTCTATCTTTGGTGTCCTGAAATTTCATCATGATATATTTAGTTAAGCATGCTCTTTCATTTCATTCATCTTTGAATTTAAAGTTATGTGCCTCTCTTTGGCTCTTGGAAATATTCTTACAGTATTCTTTGATAATGTCCACTCCCAGGTTCAGGAATTGGGCTCAAGCTATGAGATAGAGGAGAGCTGGGGAAGGGCATTGTTAGAAATCCCAGATCCCCACTTCGATCCCAAACAAACATACCCCTACCCCACCAGTCCCCCATAAGGAATGGGAAATTGATTTCTCTAGACTTGAGGACACTAGGTATAGAGGAAGGCTGTAGTGAGGGGTGAAGAATAGTCAAAGGTCTATTCTCTCATGTGTTTCAGAATGCTAGTGGCTGGGTTTAAATCAGTCTTTCCAGGATATTAGAAAATTATTCTCTGGAGCAATTAAACCATCCCATAGAAGAGATAGACCTAACTTAACAGTTGGGAGTGCCTAGTAAAAAAAAAAAATCTGGCTAGCCACTTAATTGTAGCCTACAGCAAAGCCACTGGTGGCAAACCATACACACAGAGCTCCCAAACTGCTTTTAGGACCTCATTCGTAAATATGAATGAACAACCAGACACCCTGAGGCATTTGAGGAAAGTCTTCAACATGAAAAAGAAAGTCAGAAACAGAGAAAAAGTACTTAATAGCAATATAAAGATGAGAAGATTTTGCATCCAAAATTCAGAGAACAAGAAAGAGGAAAATTCAAAAGAAAGAACTCTTGGAAATGAGTTCACAGCAGAAATGAAGAGTTCAGTGGAAAAGTTAAAAAACAATGAGACGGGGGTGCCTGGCTGGTTCTGTTGGTAGAACATACAACTCTTGATCCTGAGGTCATGAGTTTGAGCCCCGTGCTGGGTGTAGAGATTACTTAAAAAAGAAAAAAGTGTGATGGATAATAGAGAAAGGATAAGTAGAGAATCAATATAATAGGAATTGCAGAAGGACTAGAGAAAATGAAGGGGAAGACATAATTTAAGAAATAATACAGGCATACTTTGGAGATATTGTGGGTTCAGTTCCAGGTCACTGCAATAAAACAAATGTCACAATAAAGGAAGTCAAATGAATTTTTTGGTTTCCCAGTTCTTATAAAAGTTATGTTTACACTATACTGTAGTCTATTAAGTGTACATTACATTTAAAAAAACAATGTATATACTTAATTTAAAAATACTTTATTACTAATAAATGTCAAACATCATCTGAGCTCTCAGTGAGTCATAATCACTGATTACAGATCACCATAACAGATATAATAATAATGAGAAGGTTTGAAATATTGCAAGAATTAGCAAAATGTGACACAGAAACTGGAAGTGAAAATGGCACTGATAGGGACTCCTGGGTGGCTCAGTTGGTTGGGCGTCTGCCTTCGGCTCAGGTGGTGATCTCAGGGTGCTGGGGTTGAATCCCTCATCAGGCTCTTCGCTCAGCGGGCAGTCTGCTTCTCCCTCTGCCTGCTGCTTTGCCTGCTTGTATTCTCTCTCTCTCTCTGACAAATAAATACATACAAACTTAAAAAAAATTTATAAAAAATTTTTAAAAAATGGCACCGATAGACTTGCTTGACACACGGTGCCACAAACCTCTAATTTGTAAAAAATGTGTTATCTGTGAAGTGCAATAAAGCAAAGCACAAAACAAAGTATGCTTGTACAAGAAAGTTTCCCAGACTGAAAGATACGAATTTCCAAATTCAAAGGGCAGGTGGAGAGAGCTCAGCATAATGAAATTTAAAGACCCAATTCAAAGCATATCCTCAAAGCTTTCAGATAGGGATAACAAATTATGAATAAGAAAAAATGGATTTGTACTGTTATCTTATTTCTCAAAAGCAAAATTAGAAGCTAAAAAACAATGGAGCCTTCAAAATTTTAAGTGAAAATTATTTGAAACCTATAGTTCTATACCCAGTTAAACTATCAACAAATGTGTGTCAGGTACTCAGAAACATGCAAAGTCTGAAAAATTTTCTCTCTTGGGAAGCTACTGAAGTATGTATTCCACCAAAATGAAGTAAACCAAGAAAGATGAACACATGGAATCCAGGAAATAGGGGTTTTTAACACAAGAGGGAGAGGAAGGAAATTCCCAGTGTGATATTGCAGGAAGTTCCAGACAATAGCTATAGGAAAGGGCAGAGAGTCCTAGGGAGGGAAGCTTCCAGGAAAAAATAAAGTGGGAAGGTTGACAGACTTTATGTGTGGAAGATTAGAAGAGTATTACAGAGCTCTTAGATTGTATAGAAAGACCTGGGTATATGTTAAAAAGAAACCCAAGTAAATGAATTTTGCAGCAGGAGAAATAAATTAGTTGTACTGGGAAGGAAACAATAGTGAACAGTATTTCCAAAGACTAATACAGTTGACCTCTGAACAACACGGGTTTGAATTGCGTGGTCGCACTTATATGCGGGTTTTTTTTTTAACATATAAATACAGTATAGTACTATAAATGTATTTTCTCTTATGATTTTCTTAACATTTTCTTTTCCCTAGCTTACCTTATTGTACAATATGTAGTACATATAACATACAAAATATGTGTTAATCAGTAAGTCTTCTCATCAACAGTGGGCTATGAGTAGTTTTGGGTGAGTCAAAATTTACATGTGGATTTTTGATTGTGTAGGGGGTGGATACCCCTAACCCTCCAAGGGCCAACTGTAATGAAAATATAGAGTGTGGATATAATTTAAAAAAAAAAAAAAAAAACTTTAGCCCTGTAACTTATTGGGAGTATGGGTGAGACAAAGAAAGGATATTAAAATTCAAATTATCATAATAGTAAGTCAGATGCTTATATTTTAAATAGATGAATCAAGAGATAGTGTTATTTAGAAATATGGAGATAAATTCCACAATAAGCAGATCATGAAAGCATTTTAGGTGGTCACCTCTGGGCTGTGTTTCTTTCCTTTCTAAAAATTTATTTTATTGAGCTATAATTGACATAGAACATTGTGTAATGTTTAAGGTATAGAGCATGTTGATTTGATACATTTATATATTGCCATATGATTACCAAAGTAGAGTTAGCAATGGGGTGTGTTTCTGTATGCAGTATTAGGGTCACAAAAATAACCAATTATGAAACAAATATGAGTATCCAGGGTGGCAGGAATGGGGAGACTCATAACGGTGAAGTTAATAGATGATGTTTAAATGTAACAAATCAAGAAATGTCAGTTCAAGCACATCATTGAGAGCATGAGGAGGACAACAGAAGAACCACATCTGGAAACACATTGTTAAAATGGCTGCGTCTGTGGAATTTGTGGGTGGGGGCTATTGCTTTGATCACATACCCTTTGGGAATGGGTCTGAGGTAGTTAAAGCTGAAAGGGCAGAGCTCCTCTCCGGGGTGTAGGGCAGACAGAGTGTGTTACAGTGCTGAAGAGTTTGCCTCCCTGTCATTACGGGCCTGTAGACACCCCAGCCGCCATATTCCTACTCCTCTCTTCCTGAAGAGCCCCTGACTGGGAGGAGCCTAGGAAGTAAGCTGTCACCCTGTTTATTGGAAGTTTTGCTTTTCCTGCTCTCAGGTGAGCGTGGGTGTGGATTCCAGTAGTGACCTAGCCTCATGTCACCTTGAGATCCCGGACTGGGACACTTGAGGCGGGAATCAGTGGCTGGTTCCATGGTGGCATGGCAGGGCTGCCCGGGTTTACTGCCTTTTTATTTCGGGCTGGTTAAACATTGGCAGAGCAAGGCCACTGGGTAGGGTGTACAGTTTCTGTGCGGCCCATAGGCTCCTGCCCCCCCTTCCCCCTCCGTGATCAGTGGGGACTGAAGCTGGCAGGGGCTCTCTGCACCACACCCCAGGGCTGTGTCAGCTGAAGGAGGGGCTGCCTGTAGAAGTTGACGCAGCCAATCATGGCCCTGGGCATGGCCCTTTCTCCTCACACACGGGCATTTACCTGCATCAAAGATGATTCATTTGAGTGGAAAGCCTCCATGACTGGGTTTCATTTTCATTTAAACTATCAATTCTTAAGTGATACTTGTATGGTGTTGCCCAGACACGGGATGCATGGATGAGAAGGCCACTTCTCATTTCTCCTTGCTTTTTTCTCCAAGCGGGACCTTACAAAGGGTAAACCTTCTTCCTGGAGCAGGGCTGGGGAGGCTGTTGAGGGGAGGGAGAGTGTCTGAGCTGTGTTGCATTTCTCTGTTCAGAGCATGAACGGTGTTGAGGAAGGCGTGGAGTTCCTGCCAGTCAACAACACCAAGAAGGTTGAGAAGCGGGGCCCGAAGCGTTGGGTGGTGCTGGTGGCCGTGCTGGTTGGCTTATTCTTGCTTTCTATCGTGGCATGTTTCCTGGTGTGGCACTTCCAGTGTGAGTAAAGCCAGGGGTTGGCTCTGGGGCGGGTGGTTTGGGGGTGGCTGTACCTCCCCTCTCAGTAGACGGATGCAGGGGCTACCGGTTGTGGGGGACGTGAGGAAGAGAACAGGGGATGCAGGTGGGGGGCACGTGAGGAAGGGTCCAGGGCTCTGTCTCCCCTGGCTCTTTGAAGCCATAAGGGAGGAGTGTTGGCCCAGAGGCTCATGTGTCCACTGGCCCCTCCTGGCATTCGCTCCCTGGGGGTTGCTGAGGGCAGCTTGAGGATGGTGGCAGGGACAGTGTCGCTTCCTCTGACCACCCTCCTTCTCTGGTCTCCCATAGACCAGAACGTGCGGGTTCAGAAAGTCTTCAATGGCTACCTGAGGATCACAAATGAGAACTTTCTGGATGCCTATGAGAACTCCAGTTCCACTGAGTTTGCAAACCTGGCCAACAAGGTGAAGGAAGCGGTGAGTCCAGCCCCCGGGCAGGGAGCCCCGTCCCTGCTGTCTGCCCTGGCGCTCCCACCTCACCTGGGCCGAGAGGACACGGCTCCCTTTCCTCCCAGATCCCTGGGCTGCAGGTCGCGTGGGTTTCCAGGTACCTGGGGAGGGGGCCCAGGTCCCCGGAGGGAGGGGGCGGCACAGGCTTGGGCAGCGGCGGGGGGGTTGTTGCTGCTCTTTGGCCAGCCGTGAGCCTTCTCTCCTTCCCTCAGCTGAAGCTGTTATACAGTGGGGTGCCATCCCTGGGCCCCTACCACAAGGAGTCGGCCGTGACTGCCTTCAGGTGGGTGCTGGGGAGAAGGCTGGGCGGGATTGGTGCAGTGTGTGTGTGTTTGGGGGGCAGAAAGCTCACAGATTGCAGGGTGATGGAGCCGCGAGGTCTGGCTTGGGGACCAGGGCACCAGGCCCTGTTCTTCCTCAGCTCACGGCATCGTGCTGTCTCCTGGGCAGGGGTCACCGCAGGGGCGTTGCCAGGGTGACACGGGTGAATGCAGGTGTTACGGGTGAATGCAGGTGAATGCAGTGGCCACAGACGCCGTTCAGTAATGGTGGTGACCGGGTGTTACTTTTCCAAACTTGGCTTTGGAAGGCTTCCGTGAGCCTTCATATTTTCCGTGCTCAACCAGCCTTCAGCCTTCCACATGCTTCTGTAAAAATAGACTTTATCTCAAAAATGCTTTTGATTTTGTTAGTTTAATTTAATCCTTATGAATGCTGTGTGGCAGGTGGCATTCGCATCCTCTCTCCGAGATGAGGAGGCAGACTTTAGAATTTGTTCCTCAGTGCGCCCAAGCTAGTGGGAGAGCTGGGTCCACAGCCCAAGGCTGCGGTCCCATTCCTAAACGCGATCTGGCCCCAGAACACGTCTGGTTGGGCGTGAGACGGAGAGTAGAGGGTCAAGGGGCAAGATGTCTGGCTTAAGGGATCAAAAGGTGGGGAAGCATAAAAGAATCTGGGGTGGGCCCCTGCCTGGAGGAAGGTCTCTTTGGGGACCTGAGCCGTTCCGTCTGCGCCGGGCATCTGGGAGAGTATGGGGACAGGTGGGGTGCCCAGCGCGCCCCCCCCCCCGCCCCGTGCCTCAGGCTCACCCCTCTCCCCCAGTGAGGGCAGCGTCATCGCTTACTACTGGTCCGAGTTCAGCATCCCCAAATACCTGGTGGAGGAGGCCGAGCGCGCCATGGCCAAGGAGCGTGTGGTCACATTACCGCCCCGCGCCCGCGCCCTCGGCTCCTTCGTGCTGACCTCCGTGGTGGCCTTCCGTGAGTACAGGGATGCTAGGGGTGGGCGTGTGTGGGGCCCATCGTCGGTGGTGCAGGGCCAGGCCCTGGACCGTTGGGGGAAGAGCACTCCTGAGCCAGGGCATGGAAGGAAGTCTGCCTGCTGGCCCCGCACTCCCCTCTAGGGGAGCAAGGAAGCAGGAATGAGGAAATGAACCACGCCACTAAATACTTCATTCTCCTTCTTGTTCTTCAGCCACTGACTCCAGAACAGTACAGACCGCCAAGGACAGTAAGTATCATGCCCATCTCCCAGAGAAGAGGACGGATGTGGCCAGATGCCCCTTCAGTCAAGGGGGTCCCCAGATCATGCACACACCCCCCCATCGCTCCCAGGCCACGAGAAGCCCCCTCTTCGGTCTCTCCCGGGTCCAGGGCAGCCTGGAACATCTCGGAGGGCCTGGGTGCACCGCCAGGGAGGCTCTGGGTGGCTCACCCCTGCCGGCTGCGCCTGGCCCTGCCCCCACAGCCACTCTGTCTCCCACACAGACAGCTGCAGCTTCGCCCTGCACGCCCGGAGCGGGGAGCTGACCCGCTTCACCACACCTGGCTTCCCCGACAGCCCGTACCCAGCTTGGGCCCGCTGCCAGTGGACCCTGCGGGGGGATGCCGAGTCCGTGCTGAGCCTCACCTTCCGCAGCTTTGATGTCGCGTCCTGTGACGACCGTGGCAGTGACCTGGTCATGGTGTATGACACCCTGAGCCCCGTGGAGCCGCGTGCCGTGGTGCAGTGAGTGTCCCGGGGACTCAGAGGTGGGCCGAGGGTGGGGGGTGGTGGGCTTGGTGGCTGCCCACGGAGGGAAGGGCAGCGTAGGCTGGAGATAGACTGTGGGACTTGAGGCCCCTGCACACGTTCTGGGCAGCAGGGATCAGGTGTGTGTGGGCCTTGGCGTGAGCTCCCGCAGAGCAGCTCAGAGGCGATTTCATCAGCCGTGGCCAGGGTGAGGAAGGCTCAGCGGCTCCTCGGTGCCGGCAAGCTGGGTGCGCTTTCTTTCTTCGCCAGAGTGGAGGTGCAGACCCCACTTTATTACATTCACTTATGTTCAGGCCGATGGATCAGGATTGAAAAAATCAGGATCTTTACAATGATCGCTTGTTCCTGACAGTTCCCAAGAGGAGGGGCAGTCCCCAGGTGTGGGGCCACATGGGGAAGCCCCAGGGTCAGTCAGGAGGCAGAGGGGGCTGGGGGGGAAACAGGGGCAGAGCCTTTGTCATGGTTTCCGGGAAAGGCAAGGCCAGGCCTTGTATGTAGGTTAAGGATTGGCTGGTTCGAATAATTCCAGTGGGTTCTGGGGCACAGGGCCATCTCTGGTTGTCTGGTATCTGGTCGTGGGGTGATTAGGGCCACCTCCATTAGGGTGGGTGGTCACCTGGAGGGAAGAGCGACCCAGCGGCCAAAGCCTCAGGATTACAGGAAATAAGAAGGCATCATACACCTGCTGAGGAGGTGGGGGTGCCCAGATGGCCACCCGCACCCCCCACCCCCCACCAGGATGGAGCGCGCCTCTCACAGCGCTGCGGGTGGGGGTGGACTGCCCTCTCCCCAGCTCTCCCTGACTCAGTGGGCCAGAGCCTTCCCTTGCTGTCTGCAGAAATGAGGTGGGCAGACGTTTCGTGATAAATAATGGGCTAGAATTCAGGCTCCAAACAGGATAGAACCATCTGCCGCCACAGCTCAGCAGCCAGGGCTCCAGGCTGAACACCCTTTTTCTGCAAGGTTTCTTTCCTTCTCTCTAGTTTATGAATTGTCCAACAAAATCAGCACATGGCTCTGAAAGGAAAAACTGGGAAACAGACATGTACAAAGAGCACAAACCTCAGTCGTAATCTTACTGTCTAGAAGTAATCACTGTGAGATTTGTGATGTACGTTCTTCACTCTTTTTGCTGTGTCCGGGTACATTTGTGTATAGATTTAAAAATAGGATTATGGGGCTCCTGGGTGGTTCAGTCATTAAGCGTCTGCCTTCGGTTCAGGTCATGATCCCAGGGTCCTGGGGGGAAGCCTGCTTCTCCCTCTCCCATTCCCCCTGCTTGTGTTCCCTCTCTCGCTGTGTCTCCCTCTGTCAAATAAATAAAATAAAAATAAGTAAATAAAAAAATAAAAATAGGATTATAGGGCACATTTGGTTTTGCTATCTGCTTCTTAAAACTGAAGTATGTCATGACGCTCTTTCCGAATCAGTAAGCTTGTTTCTGTCATTTGTAATGGTTGCATAACGTGGCATTCTTGTGTGGAAGCATCGGGACACAGTCTTTGGCTGCGTCGGTTCCAGAGCCAGGATGCCTGAGTTTTGTTTTCAGCCCAGTCACTTACAAACTGTGGATCCTTGGGCAAGTTATATCACCCCTCTGTGCCTCGGTTTCCTTGTCTGTAAAGAGGGGATTATAGTATTTACTTAGTAGAATTGTTGGGAAGAATGCCTGAGTGAATAGATACATAGCACTAAGCGGTGCCTGGCATGTTCCTAAGTGGTGTTGCTGCTGTTACTGTTACTATTATTGTTATTATTTACCTCATAGTTGAATGAATCTTCTGTGGTCAGGTATTCGAGGTTTCTGAGTTTTTGCTGTTTGTTTAAAAGACAGTCTTACAGGGCGCCTGGGTGGCTCAGTCGTTCAGCGTCTGCCTTCGGCTCGGGTCATGATCCCAGGGTCCTGGGATCGAGCCCCGCATCGGGCTCCCTGCTCGGCGGGAGCCTGCTTCTCCCTCTCCCACTCCCCCTGCTTGTGTTCCCTCTCTAGCTGTCTCTCTCTCTGTCAAATAAATAAATAAAATCTTAAAAAAAAAAAAAAAGAGACAGTCTTACAACTAAATCCTTATTCAGGTCGTTTATGCAGGGAGGGGCTTTGAAGTGACCCCACCCTTGGCCTTTTGTGGATGGGATTGGGGTTAGGGACGCTGGGGTTCTTTGTGCTCTCGGTAACATGCACCCCTTCTGCCCCCCCACAGGCTGTGTGGCACCTACCCTCCCTCCTACAACCTGACCTTCCTCTCCTCCCAGAATGTCCTGCTCGTCACGCTGATCACCAACACCGAGCGGCGACACCCTGGCTTTGAGGCCACGTTCTTCCAGCTGCCTAAGCCGAGCTGTAAGGAAGGGCATGGCGGGGCAGAGGAGGGACAGATCCGAGGGGCTGGTCTGAGCCCATGAGGCGCAGGACAGACCCTTTGGCTGGTGAACTGGCCTTGGTCGGTGACAGAGGTGGGAACCTTAAGCCACAGGGCCTTTTGCCTCTCATGTGGGTCGGAAGCCCTCCCTAAAGGGGTCAGACTCCCAGCACTCACACCTTCCAGCAACTGGTTGTGGAGTGTGCGGGTGCCCAGGCGCGCAGCTTGAGAGAAGGGAGGGCCGCCTCTGCCGGGGTCCTCGATCCTCAGGCTCTTTCTCCTGCGTTTCCTTTCAGCCTGTGGAGGCTACTTACGTGGCACCCATGGGACATTTAGCAGCCCCTACTATCCTGGCCACTACCCGCCCAACATGAACTGCACGTGGGACATTGAGGTAGGAGCTGTAGGGTGCCTGTGAGAGCAGAAAGGGGGAGAGAGGGGGAGGAGGTGGAAGCGGGAGAGAGGGCAGGAGAGCTCTAGGGGGAGGGAGGACAAGGGAGAGGGCTGCTCTAGGATGGCAGGTGAGGAAGCGCAGGGAGAGGGAGATGGGCTCCCTTAGCAGCCCCCAAGTAGCAAATATCTAAAGCTTGCAGGGTGGGACAGGGTGGAGGGGGCTGATCTTACAGCATCCCCAAGACTCAAATCCTAGCTCTTGATCAGCGGCCGCCTGAGGGACCCCGGGCCAGTCACCCCACCCGTCAGTGCCTCAGCTTGCTCCTGGGTAAGAGGAGAGCACGGTGTCTGCCTCTCAGAGGTGAAGTCGCAGAATGTGCGGGAGGCGTGGAGAAAGCACTTGCTAGACGCAGCAAGACGAGAGTCTTGCCGCCCAGGCCCCCTTATGCCCTCCGAGTCAGAGACCCGGCTCGCCTTCCTTTCTTCGATGATGCCGGGAGGACCTCCAGCTTTCTTGAGGAATAGAAGAGTGTCTCTTGCCTCTGAGTCTAGAAGTTCTTCCAAACGTCCAACCTGAGGCCCTCCTGCTGTGTGTTCCGTATTGCCCACATGGGTCGGAGAGAGAAAAACGCAGCGACTGTGCCGTGTGCCATGGTCCCCCAGCGCCCGTGGCCAGCAGCACGCTGTGTCCCTGGGTTTAGGAGGAGGGAAGGTCACAACAGACCCCCCCCCCACCCCCAGCAGCATCTCCCTCCTTAGGTGCCCAACAACCAAAATGTGAAAGTGCTCTTCAAGCTTTTCTACTTGGTGGAGCCCAACATTCCCCCGGGCTCCTGCCCCAAGGACTACGTGGAGGTTAACGGGGAGAAGTGAGTGCCCTGGAACAGCGCCAGTGCTGGAGGGGGAGGGGTGCCCCCAGCCCCTCCAGATCCCCTCCTTACCCTTGACCGCCCCCTGCAGGTACTGTGGAGAGAGGCCCCAGTTTGTAGTTACCAGCAGGAGCAGCAGGATCACTGTGCGCTTCCATTCCGATCAGTCCTACACCGACACAGGTTTCCTAGCCGAGTACCTCTCCTATGATTCCAGTGACCGTGAGTACACGTCTCTAGAAGGAGGAGCCTGGCTAGAGGGACTGGCCCGCAACGAACCCTCTGCTCTGTATCTTCCTAGCATTGTGCTTCCCTGAGTCTGAGATACCAGAGATTGCAAGGTGCATATCACTCCGGTGGCCTTTGGAGGGATAAAATAAAAGGCTGCCATAAATGCATTTCTTGGCAAAGGTGGGCAGGGAATGCTGGTACAGGCTGTGCCCTCGAGTCCCTGTGGGAGACACCGGAGCCCGAGGGCCCCAGGGTTCCTTTGGGCCATCTGTGCCTGTGTTTCAGCATGGCCGCGCCTCTGCAGATCCGTGCCTGTCTTTGTGGCCTTTTGGCCCCTTGGGGAATGGCAGCGTAATTCTGAGACACAGGAGAAAATCCTGGGGCAGGACTCGTCACACGAAGTACTCTGAGCTCCGAAAATTCTGCAGTCTCTACCTAAGAGATGTGGCGGTTTCTGTGGCCTTTAGTTTCCCTGTCTGTTGTGTGAGAGAAGTTCGTCCGCATCCATGGTGACTTTTTGTGTCAGCCCCACGTCAGAGAGTAACCTTCTGGGAGACATTTTAACTATACACGAGAATCCAAATTTAAGTTAAAACGCAACAGCACGGCTCGCCACCCGAAATGTAACTGGCCGACCAAAGCCCTTTGATAAGTAACTAAGCACCGGTGCAGCGCACAGGTGAAGGCCCCACCTTCCGGGCCAGGCTCACCCCCATCCACCCTCAGCTTTGTCCCCGGCCTCACGACGTTGGTTGGTGGACACATTCCAATTGCAGAAGCACGGAAATGTGGGAAAGGCCTTAGAATTAAGGAAATCTCGGGATGCCTTTTGGCACTTGGATAGGATGCGTACGTCATCGATCCGCTGAGCTTCGGTTGCTCCGTGCTGGGCAGGGGGAGCCTGGCACTTGGAGGCATGTGGCCGGCAAGGACACAGGGCAGGAGAACCGAGTGCACACCCAGCCAGCCTCTCTCCACTTTGTCTGGAGCTCCCTGGGGTTTGGTCACTGGCGGTCAGGAGGGGCCCCTCGCCGTGGGTCTGCGGCTGGCCCTCCCGTGCTGGCTGTAGGTTCTAGGAACCCCACTTGCCACAGCTGAGTGGGGCTGGGAGACCCCTGCCCTTGGTGCCAACTGCAGCCCGCTCCTCTCTACACTGAGGGCTGGAGGGGGAAGAGTTTTCTGTTTGGTCCTCAGTGTGGCGGTGAGGGTGGCCCCGAGGGAGGGCAGCCGATGTGGGAGGCAGGGCTGGTGGCCTGGACTTGAGGCCTGCCCTCTCCCTTGCAGCGTGCCCGGGTAAGTTCATGTGTAGCACGGGGAGGTGTATCCAGAAGGAGCTGCGCTGTGACGGCTGGGCGGACTGCACGGACTACAGTGACGAGCTCAACTGCCGTGAGTCCCCTCTGCCCGCACTGTGCCCCGCGCCTGGACGCTGTCCCCACCCCCCACCCCCCGTGTAGACTTCACGCCCCGCCCCTCCTTCCGCCTTTTGGGTATTTCTGCAGAGTAGAGAATTTCTGCAGTACCGGGCTCAGCTTCCATAGCTCGGGACGCCGGGACGCCCCAGAACCAACCCCCCAGCAGGGAAAGGGGTCCCCGGGCAGCTGTCTGGTCGCGCCTGCTTCTCTGGGAAGCAGTGAGCAATGACTGATGTCAGAACGAGGGCCAGGAGCCCAGCTGAATGCTACCCCTTACTCCCTTTAGAATGCAACGCCACCTACCAGTTCACGTGCAAGAACAAGTTCTGCAAGCCCCTCTTCTGGGTGTGTGACAGCATCAACGACTGTGGGGACAACAGCGACGAGCTGGAGTGCAGTGAGTGAGGGGTGGGGCTGGCCTGGCCTCCCTGCGGCCCACCCTCAGCAGGGGCCCGTCGAGCCACTGCTGAGTGTTGGTGCATCCCGCCCCCAGGCTGTCCGGCTCAGACCTTCAGGTGTGGCAGTGGGAAGTGCGTCCCACAGAACCAGCAGTGTGACGGGACGGACAACTGTGGCGACGGCTCCGACGAGGCCATGTGTGCCCTCGGTGAGGCCTGGTGGGAGCAGGAAGGAAGGAAGCCGCCGTGAGCACACTCAGACTGCAGGGGGTCCCAGGTTTAACAAACACAAACCACCCTAGACGTTAAGTGTGTTGCGAAAGTGCGTCAGTGGGGGGAGAATCTTCCGGAAGGTGGAGAATCTTTGGCGAGGCTGGGAGGACATGGGCCTGGGTGCGGATGGGTGGGACAGGCTTGATGAGCAGCATAAGGAGGATGGGTCATTAGGTTTCTGGTTGGGTGCTGCAGAGGAATTGATTGCCTGCCCCTTGTACTCCTTCTTGAACAGTGAGAACTGTTACCTGCTCCAAACACACCTATCGCTGCCAGAACGGGCTCTGTTTGAGCAAGAGCAACCCTGAGTGTGATGGGAAGGAGGACTGTAGCGACGGCTCAGATGAGAAGGATTGTGGTGAGTAGGGCCACTGCATACAGTTGTGCAGGTTGTTCACTGTGCAAGACACATACAGAGGTGGAACTCATGCCAGTGCCTCACTCACCCAGCTCTGCCCTAGTGAGAGGGTGTGTCTGCCTGGGGGAAAGGATGACTTTGCTGATTGGCACAGAGGCACTGTGATCCTGAAGGCAGGGCCCGGGGCCGCCAGCATGTCAGTGCCTCTGTGGCAGAGCTGACGTCCTGGCCGAGGTGCTGGGCTGGCCCCTGCTGGCCATCCTGCCTGGAGGAGAGAGGGCACAGCTTGCCAGAGCAGCCGGCAGGGTTTTGCCCCCAGCGCACCCATGCTTCAGTTTGTGGCCTCGGGTGTATTTCAGAAGCACTGGCCATAGGTTGAATCTGAGCACAATTATGGCCTTTCTGGGACATCACGCCACCCATCCGCTCCTTCTCTGAGAGCTGTGCCCGTCAGCAGTCAGCAAGGAGATCTAGGCAAATGCCACTCACATTAAATCCAAGCAAACCAGCAGATGTCTGAAGGCCTCTAAATGCATTTGGACGGGGATAGGGGGGTGGGAGTGTGAGGGTTTTGGGTTTGGAAGGAGGGAGGGGGCCGGGGGAACGTCAGTGGGGTCTCTGAGTCTCCAAGATATTTGTAGGGGTTCCCACGAAGAGGTGGCTGCCTCACACGGCCTCTTGCTGAGCCCGGTGCGGGGCAAGAGCGGGGCGCGGGGGGCTAGTGCCCCCACCTGGACTCTCTGACCTGTGCGTTTTCTGCGCCTCCCAGACTGTGGGCTGCGGTCGTTCTCCAGGCAGTCCCGGGTCGTCGGGGGCACGAATGCCGACGAAGGTGAGTGGCCCTGGCAGGTCAGCCTCCACGTCCTGGGCCAGGGCCATGTGTGCGGGGCTTCGATCATCTCTCCCAACTGGATGGTGTCGGCAGCTCACTGCTTCATCGACGACAGAGGATTCAGGTGGGCCGCTGGCTGGGAGGGGTTGTCCTTGTGTTTTCTGGGCTCGGAAAGCCCCCGGTGTATAAGTCATGCCAGGGCGGATGGCGCTGCGACAGGACCAGGAGGGGTGGCAGACCCCCCAGGATGAGGCTTAATAACAGTAATCATAAAAACAGAACCCTGTTAGGTGCGCCCTCTCCGTAAAGCAGTATCTCAGTGCCTCTCCTAACAACCTGCTTAGGCGGGCCTGGTTATGTTCCCATTTTACAGAAACGGGGGTTCAGAGAGGTCAGGGCGTGTGCTCATGGGCGTGCAGCTGGGGAGCGGCACAGGCAGGCTCAAGCCCCGGTGTGCGGGTTCCAAGGCCTGTGTGGTCGGTCTGTGCACGGGGCCGCCCCGGGTCCGGTTCAGACTCACATTCACGCTCCAGCTCTGCTTGCCCAGTGGCCGTGGGCTAGGGTTTCACGCTTCCTGGGCCTCGGGTTCTTCCGCAGGAATGGTGACACTGTGAGTTCTTATTCCTGGAGGCCTGCGAGTACCGCGCTCATGCACCTTAACCCTGAGCTCTGCGCCTGGCACACAGTGCGCTCTGCCCCCTGGGCCTCGGGCCCACGGGCGGAGTCCAGCCTGGCACAGGGGAGGTCACTGAAGAAGGGTCCTGCTGGCATCTCAGGATGGGGGGCAGGGCAGCGGGATGGGGGAGCCTGACCAGCTACTTGTGTGTTAGAGCCAGCCGGCCCAGGCCCTGTGGCCACTGGCCATGGAGGGAGTCTGGTGGGACAGCCTCCTCCGAGGGGAGTGGACCTTCCAGGGGCTCCCCACCCTCAGTGCCTTCTGCCGGGCACGTACTCTTCTGCCAGAGTCAGCTGTGAGAGGTGACTGGGCTGCCACAGTCACCCTTTTGCAGGGAGGAGAGGAGAAGCACCCTGAAATCTCAGGAGAGACAGGGCCTAGGGCACTGAGGCACAGGTGTTGAGCAAGGCCAGGCAGGTGCACATAGACGCGCGTGATGGAGGTGACCGCAGAGGTCTGGAGGGCGCAGGGTCAGTGCCGTGGTCCCCAGGGCCCTGCTGGGCTGAAGGGCAGCCTCATCCCACCCAACTGCCCTCTCTCTTATTTTCTCACACCCTGCTCTCCCCTGGGCAGAAATGATTTGGTTCGTTTTTGGGGTGATGGGAGCTTACTTAAGAATTTTGTAAAAGAAACTCTTTATCTTGGGATCCAGGCGAGTTGCAGAGATAGTACGGCGTTCCTGCGTACCCTCACCCAGTCTCTCTCGTGGGCAGGGTGCGTCTGTCAGCCCTGAGAGCCCCCCTGGGCCCCAGCACGAACACCACCGCAGGCTCTGGGTGCATCCTGTGGGGTTTATTCTCAGATCGTCTCTGCTGCAGGAGCCAGTCCACGTTACCACTTTGCACTGTTGTCCCCTGTCCCCAGTCTCCGATCCGTGACAGTTGCTCAGTCAGCCTGCTTTGTTTTTGTGATCTTGACAGTCCGGAGGCCAGGTGTCCTGTAGAGTGCCCCCCCGCCGCCCTAGTCTGGGTTTGTCTAATGTTCTTGTCATGATTGGACTGTGCTTCTGAGTGTTTGGAAAGAATAGCACACGCTGTCAACAGGCACAGGCCACCAGCCTGACCTATCACTGGTAACGTGACTCCTCTGCTGGTTGAGATAGTGTTTGCCAGGCTGCCTCATGGTGAAGGCCCCCTTTCTTTATTCTTTGGAAGTGAGCCAATTTGGAATTCTTCTGTGAGGAAGCTTTGTCCCTTCTCTTCCATTTATTTATTTAGTTAGCTATTTCTATTCGTATGGACTCTTGTATATTTACATTTCTTTGGATTGTAATCCAATGCCGTGATATGACTTTGTTGCTCAGATTGTTCCAGATTCGACCATGGCACTCTCTCCAAGGTTGGCTCTTTTGTCTCTTTGATCTGCCCCCATTCTTTTGTTCTTTTGAGCCACTTCCGTGCTTTCTGGCCCTAGCAGGTGCTCTAGGCCCATCTTGTATTTTCCCTGGCCCAGGCCTGGAATGAGCCACCCCCCCCCCCACCCCAGGAATCCTGTTATCGGAGGACAGTGAGACCGGGCCTCTTGGTATTCTCAGTGTTACTGCAATCCTACTGCTTCTAGACCCTCAGCAGGGCGAGCCAGGATCTGCATGTGTGGTCCCCGCGCCCTCTGTTCCTTCTCCCTCTTTCTCTTGCTTCATCACTGAATGTCTCATTTCCTCCTCCTTCATTTTCTCTTCATCATCAGTTTTACTTCCGCCAAGTGATAGTGCGGTTAATCCATTCGACACCCCGTGCTGTTATTAGCACCGGGGGACAAAGATGAATAAGCCTTCTTCCTCACTCTTCCCAGGCTTCCCAGGCTGGGGGGACGAGATCCATGACACGTGCTCGTGCACACACACGTACATGCGCACGCGGCAAGTGCTGTGTGGGAACTGTGCACAGGTTACCTGGGCCCAGCATGTGGGAGTTGAGAATTCCCCCCGGGGTGGGGGAGGGAGACTTAAGAGTGCCTCTGTGAGCAGGGGTGTCTGGTGTGAGTGTTGAAACCTGAGAGTGTTTGCAACTGGACAAGGTGACGCAGACCTTCCAGACAAAGAGGGGTGTGAGCAGAGGCAGGTGGGTGTGAAGTGTGCAAGGATCTGGAGTGCAGTTCCTTTGGACACATTTCTGAGTCGGCAGGTGCTCGCAGGGTGTTGCTGTGGTTAAGAGTATAGTCTGCCTGGGTTCAGTCCCGTCCGTGACTTATTAGCTGTGTGATCTTGGGCAAGTTACTTAGTCTCTCTGTAGTCTGACTCCTCATCTAAGAATGGGCAGCCCTACGTTGACGGGCTGCCTGGGGGATGAAATGACTTGATGTGTCAGCACTGAGAAGAGAGCTTGGCGTGGCTACCACCAGTGCCCTCCCAACCACACGGCAGTCCCCGGGGCACCTCAGTGGCTGGACCTTCACACCTGGTCTCTCAGTTGCTGGTGAGCATGTGTACCTTCAATGACTAGAGACTAAGTCTGCTCAAAGAGTCGAAGGCTGTCCTCGACCGAGGCATGTGGACTGGGGAGAAAAGACCATCCTGGCAGGCTTAATGTGAGGAAGCTTCGAGAAAGAGGGGCTGGGGTTGCTGGGTGAATGGGGCTGGCAAGGGGGTGGGGGCACGTGGCTTAGCATGGGCACAGGGTGACAAAGGGATGTCTGTAGCAGGTGATGAGATCACAGACAGATGGTGCCAGAGGGGAGGAGGGGGACTCTCCCACCCTGTCCCCCAACCCTACCCCATCCTTTCAGTCGCCGGCCCTTGCCTGCTAAATATCCCAGACCATCTCTGCTCTTTCCCCCTCACATTGCTGCTACCCTGTCACAGCTGCAGCACCCTCTACCGGATCACCCTCTTGCTTCTCAGCGTGCCCGCCTGTCTCCACCAGGTGGGAGTGGTCTTTCCAAAGAGCTAATCTGATCCTGTCAACCCCTTGCTCGGGGTAACTTGTAGGATAAAGCAGAAAAGGTGTAACAGGACCAACATGGCCACATTCTCTGGCTCAGTCTCCTGTCCCGCCCTCATACCTTCTGTATATTCAATTTCAGGGGGCATCGCAACATTCCCTTGGGTCTCTGTGATCTTGCTGCTTTCTCCCCCACCTGCAGGCTTTGACTAGCCAAGTCCTATTTGATCTCCAAGGCCTTGTTCATGACATGCTTCCTCTCCTCGCCACCCCGCCTCCCACTCCATACTCTGCCACAGCCTGCTGCCCATCATAATGGAGGTCACCCATGCTGGGCTGTCATGGGTGGTTTTCATGGCTCCCTCCCCGAGGACGCGGTACACTTGGAGGTTAGGTTAGGTCTCGGGCCGTTCCTGGACCACCACAGATGGTTGGGAGAAGTCAGAAAGGGTAAGGCAGAATTAATGCAGATACAGAATGCTTGGCTGATCTGGTAGGTCTTGGAATCATTTCAGGCTGTTGAAAACGGCTCTCACAAAAGAAATTTTCAGGAAGTTCTCATCTGGTAGCAACAGATTAAAAAGACCTGGAGGCAAAAAGACCGGTTTGGAGGCTAGTGCTACCGTCTGGGTGTGAGGTTCTGCAGGGAGGTGGTGGCAGGAACGGAGAGGAGGGGACAGAGGCGTGGGCGGGCGCAGGGCGGGGCTGGCGGAGGGCCGGTGAGCTGGGCTCCAGGGGCAGGGGGAGAGAGACAGTGGAGGAGGAGGTAAGGTTCAGAAACCCGAGGAGAGAAGGGGCCTTGCCGGGACATTTTAGCACTGGCCACTTCACTAGCCTCTTGACTTTCCTGATAGGCTAGAGAAAATGAGGCTGGTCTTCATGCTTTTCTTCCTCTTGCAGACTATTTTAAAGATACACTTTTCCCAATTTTTTATTTTGAAAAATTTTCAAACCTACAAAAAAGTTGCAAATATAATGAAGGAAAAAATGACAATGAATACCCTCGTACCCTTTATCTACATTCACTACCTGTTGAATTTGACCACATTTGTGTTATTTCTCTCTACACATGCACATGTTTTTCTGAACTGTCTCCGAGTTGGGTGCAGCCATGATGACACCTGTCCCCTAAGTACCTCAGCTTGTGTCTCCCAACAACGAGAGCTCCCCCCGCCCACAATATGGGAATCACCTCCAGAAACAACAGTGCTAACACAGGACTAGTGGCGAGCATGTCTTTCATGCTTCAGGTGTCCCCCAATGACCCCGATATTGTCTTTTGTAGCTTTTTTTTTTTAATCTAGGATCCAGTCAAGTGTTGTGCTCTGAATTAGTCCTTAGTTTTCTTTAGTCTCTTAAATTTATTTATTTATTTTTGTTTTTTTTTATTTTTTAAAGATTTTATTCGAAACAGATAGAGAGAGAGAGGGAGAGAGAGAGGGCATGAGTAGGGGAGAGGCGGAGGGAGAGGGAGAAGCCGACTCCCAGCCGAGCCAGGAGCCAGACATGGGGCTCGATCCTAGGACCCTGGGATCATGACCTGAGCCGAAGGCAGACGCTTAACCATCTGAGCCACCCAAGCGCCCCTCGTCTCTTAAATTTAAAACAGTTCCCCTAAACCTTTATTTTTTTTTTTAATTTATTATTTTTTAGGCATTGCATGTTTGAAAAGTCCAGGCTGGTTATTTTGCAGAATGTCTCTCAATTTGGATTTTTTGATCGTTTTTTCTTGGTTAGAGTTAGGTTAAACTTTTTTTTTCCGCCCAAAACACTATATAGGTGATGCTGTGTCCTAGCCCATTGGTGGGAATGGCTGGGAGGACAGTCTGATCACTTGGTTAAGGTGGGGTCCATGGCTTTCATCCATTATAAATGTGCCCCCCGTTATGAATAATCTTGGATGACACTTTGAGTCAGTGTGAATATCACGTTGTTTCTCTTTGGAGAGGGAGAGAGAGAGAGGAGCGGGGAGGGGCAGAGGGAGAGGGAGAATCTTAAGCAGGCTCCCTGCCTAGTGTGGAGCCTGTTGTGGGACTCGATCTCACGACCCTGAGATCATGACCGGAGCCAAAATCAAGATTCACACGTTTAACTGACTAAGCCCCCTAGGAGCCCCCCCCCGGCAATCTTTTACCCAGTGCTTTTAGCATCCATCGATGATTCTTGCTGGTGTTGGTTATTGCCAAGGTAGATGCGAAATGTGATTTCTTATTATATTGTTTCTTCTGTATTTATTAGCTGGTGTTCTTCTGTAAAGAGTAGCTTTCCTTCTGTCCTTATAAAATTTTGAAATTCTTTTTTTAGATTCAGGATGGACTCATGGATTCCCCTCCCCCTTTTATATTACTCAGCATGCATAGTACTTTAATCCTGTTGTTCATTTTGATGTTTGGATGGTCCTGATAACTGGCTCAATGATTGTTTGAGCACTCACGTGCTTACCTCTGATAAAACAAAACGTTCCAAGGTCACTTTATGCCTTCCTTGCTTCAGACCTGAAATCAACCATTTCTCCAGGGAGCCGTGGTTCCTTTTAATGGAGAAGAATATATAGAAACCAAGTTCTGGGTGTTATTGGGGATGTCATTGCTTTGGGGCCATTTTTTTGGAGAAATCCTGAGCTTTGATTGCTACTTCTGATTGCACTCCCTCCTCCCCTGCTCCCTTTGTATCTCCCTTTTCCCACACCAGAACTTAGCTCCCAGCAATGGCAATGTGTTATCTTTACTTGTGCAGTCTGCCAGTATACGTGAACAGTTTGGAATTGCTACACTTGTCCCACCACCAACAGCAAACCTAGTAGATGAAGTTGTCTACTTTCCAATTCATTTTGTTCTTAGAACACGTACCACTGTGTTAAAAAAGTATTTGTGCTGAGTTCTGTGTTTTTCTTTCTGTGAAAGAGCACATCGCTAAGAAATGTATTTTTGGTAATCGGATTAAAAATCTATCACAAGAGGGAAACAAGGAGGTACAGGGGTGCTGAGTGCTGTGGGCAGCTGAGGAGCCACCCGGAAGCCACAGCCCCCTCCACGGTCCGGGCAGCGGCAGGTGGCTTTGCCCAGGTCAGTGCTCAGGCAGCTGTCCTGCTCCTCTCGCAGCTACTCTGACCACACGCTGTGGACCGCCTTCCTGGGCCTGCACGACCAGAGCAAGCGCAGTGCCACTGGGGTGCAGGAGCTCGGCCTCAAGCGCATCATCACCCACCCTTTCTTCAACGACTTCACCTTCGACTATGACATTGCCCTGTTGGAGCTGGACAAGCCGGCCGAGTACAGCAGCTCCGTGAGGCCCATCTGCCTGCCCGAATCCTCGCACAGCTTCCCCGCCGGCAAGGCCATCTGGGTCACGGGCTGGGGCCACACCCAGGAAGGAGGTGAGCGAGCGCGGGTGGGGGGGGGGGGGGGGGTGCTGGCGGCCGCTGGGCAGCCCCCTCTTCTCTCTGCCTGGCGGGGCGGGGTTGTTCAGGAGTGAAGTGCAGGCTGGGCTCCGCGTGGAAGGCCTGGCCATGCCGCTGAACTTATCTGAGTGACCTTGGCGGTTGCTTAAACTCTGAGCCTGTTTCTTCACCTGTAAAGTGAGGGTAAGACACCTTCCCAGATGGTGCTCCGTGAACGTAAGGACACTGGTGGGAGCGCTGTGTGACGCAGGGGGGCCTGGCAAGCTGGGCCCGTGTCAGGTCCTGTGGCGGGAGCCTGGCCTCCTCGGCCCTTCCGCCTCCATCTGAAGGCCCGTTAGTTGGTCAGTGGCAAAGGGGAAAAATCAGTTATCATAGTGCGACAGCACGCTGTGGCAAATCTGTAGAATATAGAGAGGAAAAAGGGAAAGAACCCGACTTAACACAACCCCGGAGCCGCTGCGTGGTGCTTTCCGTCGCTCTCCCTGTTTCTCGTTTCCCACACCCCGTTCGCATGGCGAACGTCCGAGCTCCTGTCACCGGTCGCCCAGTTCCTTGAGCCTTTGTCAGCCACGGGCAGTGGGCTTGTGTCCGGAGATTTGCTAGCGCGGTCACTGCCGTGGAAGCGCCCGGAAGGGGGCCCTGGCCGTTGCACGGACCCATGGGAGCGCCACGGCCCCGCTCAGCCTCATCCCGCCCTCCTGCCCCCCGCCCCCCAGGCTCGGGCGCGCTGGTGCTGCAGAAGGGCGAGATCCGCGTCATCAACCAGACGATCTGTGAGAACCTGCTCCCGCAGCAGATCACCCCGCGCATGATGTGCGTGGGCTACCTCAGCGGCGGCGTGGACGCCTGCCAGGTGCGCGCGGGGCGGGGCCCGGGGTAGGGGGCGGGCCCCGAGGTAGGGGGCGGGCCCCGGGCGCGGGCGCGGGCGGGCACTCAAACACCGAGGCGCTGGTCTCCCCGCAGGGCGACTCCGGGGGACCCCTGTCCAGCGTGGAGGCCGACGGGCGGATTTTCCAGGCCGGCGTGGTGAGCTGGGGTGACGGCTGCGCTCAGAGGGACAAACCCGGCGTGTACACGAGAATCTCTGAATTTCGGGACTGGATTAAAGAGCAGACTGGGGTGTAGAATGCAGGGGACATCGGCGGGCCACCCCAACGTGCACACCTGCGGGCCAAGGACAGGATCGCTAACAGCACCCCTGACTTGAGCTCCCCAGAACCCAGACTGTGAACTGAATCCCCAGGTCTCTGGAGAGGGTGACTTGGCCTGGAGAACTTCTCTCCTCCCTCACCTCCGAAGCAGAGGATGGGAGGTGGAGAGGGAGGACACTGGCAGTGCCAAGGGGCACAGGCTTGAAGACACAGCCCCTCCCCTCCAGTCCCAAACTGGGCTGAGGCTTGTCCGGCCGATCTTTGGGCTCTGCCTCTCTGGTACCGAGCGGCTGTAATGTTGCTTTGGGACCCCTACGGTGGGGCTGGTGGGGGCGCTTTAGGCTCCTAGGGTCACACTCTTCAGGAAACCCGGGCCAGACGACCCTGGAAGACACATGGGTCTAAAATTTGAATTTTTACCAGCTCCTAGGGTGGGCTTCAGTGTGTGTATTTGTGTGTATGAGTAAATTTTGTTTTTAGGTACATTTTTTTCTCACTGGACTTGATGGGCTCTCCTTCCTCCTAGCCCCCAGTTGCAAGCAGTAAACCGGGTTTAAATTCCCATCAGCACAGACCCTGGAGTCAAGCTAAGAGCAGAGGCCACGGTGTCCTGTGGCCTTCTCCAGGCCAGCAAGGGGCTATGTTTTGCTTCTGAGACCAAGGCCTGGTGCCCTGAAAGGAGGGCTGCGCAGGGCAGAGGGGGGCCGGCGGTGAGGCATGAGGGTGGGAAGGGTGTGCAGTAGCTGCCCAGCCTGGGCACCCGAGGAGAGGGAGGAGCTGTGTGTCCCAGGAAGAAAGGAGGAGGTGGGGCTTTCTTTTGGGCATGGATGGGATCAAATGAGTTCTGTGTACGCGTGTGTGTGTTTGTACACGCAGACATGAGGGTAGGCATGATGTCGAGGCTGTCCAGTGTGGGCTGAGCAGGTGGTCCCTGAGCCTTGCAGGAGGGATGGTGCTTTGCTTAAGTGTTCTCACATCTCCAGTGTACCTTTGATTTTTACTTATTAATTTAAAATATTCTCTCTCCTCGCTTGGAGTGACACAGAATGACAGCGTCAACGATCTAGGGAGGGCTTAGGGAGTTCTTGAAGGGACGTTTGAAAAACTTCTGTATGCCAAGGCACTATACAGGCTAGGGCTAGGGGAAAGAAGGGGCTTAGGAAGAGAAATCAGATGGCCAGTGACATGAACAAAGATGGCGTGGTCTTTGCTCATCACCACATCCCTGGCTCAGGCCTGGCTCCTAGAAGAGGCTAATACGTACTTGATAAATCAATAGTCTGCCCTCCAGGAGTTTTGGGAATGGAAGGGGGGAAAACGCAGTTTGATTGGAGCAATCTGACCAGACCTCTAGGAGGCGATCAGCTGCTGCTTTGATTTTAGCCTGAATGTTTTACTTTCTGGAGGGAGGAGCAGTTTTGTCTTGACACCTGTGCAGGCATGCATGTTGGATTTTCCTTCCAGGGAAGGGAAAGAGCATCCGTTCTTTACCAAGGCGTGACAAGTAGAAGAAAGAAGAGGTTGTCAAAGACTCCTGGGCAGGTGGCGCCATGTTGTAAATAGCTGACATTCAGGGAGAGGCTTCACCCGTGCTCTGCTTCCCGAGTACGCACACCCCTCAGGCCGCCAGCCTGGCTCAGTTGTAGAAGTGGTTGCCCACACAGAGGGAGGCCAGCCCGTGCCTGCCTGTAGCATCCTCATTGTCCCATCATGGTCTAACATTGTCTTGAGAACTCCCACCCCAGAGCAGCAGCACCAGCTGGGAAGGCTCATGCTTCATCCACACCTGCATCAGAAACTTTGGGGCAGGGCCCTGTAGTCTGCACAGTAGCAAGTTGTTCCAGGTGATTCTGACCTACCGCCATTTTAGCAGTGTGTCCATAGGCTAACAGCATCAGCCTCACGGGCGCCCAGGGCAGTGGCGTGCAGGTGCATCCTGCACTTCTGGCCCTGTTCTAGAAGCCTCAAACATTTGATGCCCGGAAGCTCGAGAAATGTCAGTTCTTTTAAAAAGACCGTGGAGCCAAACCCGTTTACTCCCGACTGGAGATAAGAATAGCCTAAGAATCCTTAAGTACCAGGAAGTCAAGCCCATCATTTTGAGGCTCCTTAGTCTCCAAAGAGTCATCTCTCTGGTTCTCCCCAACTATCCTGAACCTCAATTGTTTTAGCCACCAACCAAAAATGTTTAAACTAAAGTTTAGTGAGTGTTTAATCCAATTGCGTGGACAGGGGGTCTGATCCAGACATAGATTCTGCAGAAATAACAGTGCGTTTGGATGAGTTAGGATGGACTTTACAGACAATGAGCCCAGTTTGGAAGTCTTCCGGGACCCAGAGCCCAGAACCCAGAACCCATACAGCCGGAAGGGAAGTTGTCCAGCCACTAGGGGGCAGCGCGGGATTTCCCTTCTGGGCGGCGGACCCGGCCGGGCCTGTTGCAGTCACAGGGGAGGGGGCCGCCGCTGCCTCCTGGGGGTGGGCTGCGGTTCGGCTGGTGAGGTGGGATGGGGAAGGCCCCCAGGTCCACTTGTTCTCAGAAGGCTGCCTTCTGCTGCTTTCCAGTCACTTTTAAGGGGTCTGGGGCCCCTTTAGTACCCTCGCCCCTAATCTGCAGTCAGGACCGCTGGCCCTCAGACACTGGGACCTGGAGGACAGACATTCCCAGGACAGAGTCAAAGACAGTTCTGAGTTGAGAACAGAGGTCACCTCTGTGGGTAGGAGGTACATGCTCTCACTGAGAGTAGCAAGCAAGTGTGAAACATCATCCTATGACACACTCACAGTTGGCAGATAGCTGTGACATACAGGCAGGTATGTTCTTAGACACACACACACACACACACACACACACACACACATTTGCGGGGAGGAGCAGGATGTGCGTTTTAGGGACCAAGGTCCCAAATAGAATATGTCACAGGAATATGACCTGGCTGTTACACCAGGACTCCCTCTCCCTCCACAGGGGCTCTGGGGTGCCTACAGGCTTGAATTTAGGGGAACTCTGCCTTTTGGGGGTGAAATGATGCTTTTCACTTTTCTAGGCTTGGAGTCATGGGTGTATGTGTGGGTGCATGTGTCATGTATGTGGGTGTTTTGCATACCTGCACCCACACGTAAGGAGAATTGGATCTTTCAGTCAGTGGTTCTCAGACATTTGAATTTCTTGGAACTGTGAAGTCATAACAGTACATGGGCCCAACAGATCTCCCACTTACTGATGAGCGCCTTCGAAGTGTTCTACATGCTTTACTTGTTCTTAATTTAATTTAAACCTCACTATGGTCATTCCCATTGTACAGACAGAAAACCACGGTGCTAAGAGTTTAAATCACTGCCCAAGATCCCACATTTAGGACCTATTGGATCTAGGACTTGAGTGCTGGTGATCTGGCTCATACTCTTAGGCACTGGCCTACCATGAACCATGTATTGTTCAGACATCATCATTTCGTAAAGAAAGGAAATTGTAACACAATTCACAGAGAATGAAGATTAGGCTGCATGAGGCCCCGTTGCTTTTGGGAATTCTGATGAACCTGGTCACGAGCCCTTTGTGCCACATGGCCTATTTTCTGGGCTGGGGCTTTGCCAGCCTGGGTAGAGTGTTGCCACTGATGGGGTCCCTGGGCTCCACCTAGCTGCCAGGCCATCTCAGTTGGCCCAGTAAGAGTGGTTGGTTGAGAAGGGCGCCTGGGTGGCTCAATCGGTTAAGCGTCTGCCTTCGGCTCAGGTCATGATCTCAGGGTCCTGGGGTCGAGCCCCACATTGGGCTCCCTGCTCAGTGGGGAGCCTGCTTCTCCCTCTCCCTCTGCCTGCCTCTGTGCTCTCTTTCTATCCGCTGTCAAATAAATGAATAAAATCTTTAAAAAAAATTAAAAAAAAAAAGAAATGACTTAAAAAAAAAAGGAGTGGTTGGTTGAGGGAGGGAAAGAGGTGGGGGATAACCACTGTCTCAGGACAGGTGCCTCTGGTCACTGGGCCATTCCTCAGGGTGACCATCAGGAAGAAAGCTGGCAAAGCCACCAAGTACCACTGAGAGTGATGAGACCAAACCCCAAAGCAGGAATGGGAATATTTGTCACCTGCTTTTACCTCTTGGCATGACCTAGAAGATGGTTCAAACTGTCGTTCCACAAGATGACCAGCACTGGCATTGACAACAGGATGTCGGAGAGGTTTTGAGCAAGTGGCCATTGCTCTGGGCCTGTGGTGGGGGGACAGGCTCCCCTCGGGGATGAGCCTTTCTCAGCTGGTGGCAGAGACAGGAGATGAGAGGGAGCTGCCGCGGGTTATCAGGAAAGCGGGAGTGAGCTGGCCCCAGGCACTGGCTGAACATACAGGGGAGGCCTCGGTCTAGATTTATTATCTGTTCCCTGGCCCCCAAAGAAGGCCCCTGAAGAAAGAGCAGCTTTGACTCTCAGATGAGTACCTGTCTATCACACGAACTGCTTTGGTGCTCAGATAGGGCCCCAGTGATGACATATTTTGATGAAGAAATCCTCTCACTTTTAGGATTTCGACTGGTTTCACTCTCCTTTTTCTGTTTCCCTGCTTTTCTTCTCGAGAGGGGTGTATCCTCCCAAGTTCCATCGTCCTGTGTCTGCAGCTTAGAGACCGTGTATTTATTCTATCCCCTCACCTCTGATTGTTTCCTCAAAAGTCCCCATCCAGAGCTGTTTCCAGGCGTAGGCGGAATCCATTCCATGGTCTGTCTGTTCCATTGTTGCAGGCTCTTCCACCCGGAGGAGGCATGTGTGTATTTTCCTGGGATGTAAACCTAACTTTCCCTGCCCCTTGGCTCTCTGGGCCTCCCTTCCACCGCACACGTACTTCACCTTGGAGGTCATCACTGTTTCCCTGCCCACACCCTTGTGATCCAGAATAACTCCGTCTCTGTGCCAGACCCCTCCTCTGGAACTTCATATGGACTTGCTTAACTCAAAAAGGAAATTCTTAGCCTGTGCTCTTTTTCCAGAGACCTGCGGGAACACAGTGGCTGTGCGTGTGGTGGTGGTGGGAGGGTTGCTGGGAGACGGACGCTGGGGGCAGGGGCACGGGAGGACGAGGGCCAGGAGAGAAGGGGAGAGAAGCTCTCTCTCCACGCAGAAGTATGTTCAGAATAGTTCCCAGAATAAACGGTATGGGATACCTCTTGGAATTTCATAATATAAATACGGTCCAAATGCCTATGAGGACTGCAGAAATATACAGAAGCAGACGAGAAAAACTTGGCATCTTTGAAACATCTGACTTGCAAAAAGTGGTAGCAAGCTTATTTATGTAAGCCAGCCAGAGTAAAGGGTGAAGAAAGAAGTCATTCATTAATTCAACAAGCTTTCGCCGGGGACCACTCTGCCATTTGTGACTGGGGAAAGGGCAGTTGACGGAGGAGGGGGGCCTACCTTAGGCTCCTCCGGCCCCAGCCTGGGCAGACACTTGGGAAGCACATCCTGAAGCCGTCCAGGGCCTGCAG